TATATATATATATAATTGATTTTTCATTTAATTACAGTTTTTTAATCTATGGTATCGGTTGTAAGTTCTCTTGAAATATTATTTGGTAGAAATTTATAATAATATTCTAAATCTAAATCAATGTTGAAAAAAAAGCAAGAAAAAATACATAATGTAAGTACACTTGGTAGCTCATTGAGGAAGCGAATTCTGAGCTCTTGAAGAGGTCATGTTTATTGTTTGTGGAATGTATTTATAATCTTTGGTTCCACATTATGGTGAACTGATCTCGTTTTGTAATTTCTGTACCTGCAACCAGACCACCTGCTTCGTATGGGTTGTACAGAAGATGGAGCCTACCGTCACCGATCAGAATAAATTCGTTATTCAAACAAATGTTTCCTTTATCTGAAACTTTAAAAGACAGAGAACAACATACATACTATGATATAATAATAATCTGTCTTACTGATTCGTGTATGATCGCTCTGATGTGGCACAACATTGGCTTCGGTCTGCTGTCAGACAATGATTCGCTGCGTCTTCAGTTAAAAGAATGAAGGAGGTTTTTTTCTCTCTTATGTAAAGTTTTTCTCTTTAAGCATAATGCATGTTAACAGCTTGCCGACAATACATTGTATATGTGTCATGAAGCGGTAGAATCAGGCACTCGTCATTTATTTGGACATCAGGAGTTAGGGGTATCATCTTAGAGCTTGTTCATTTGACCATCTTTAGACGAAATAAAATACACGTCTATCTTGAATATTTGAGATTGAAGGAGGTCGGGGTCGTCTGGTTTCAGAGGTTAAATTAGCGAGAGGATGACCTCAAAAGTTTGGTGATTTCCAAAGCGTGATGGTCCCTGGAAACTGAAAATTTACATTTGTTGTGCCTTTAATCAATGTTTTTCGGTGAAATCTACACAGTAATATGTTTTTAAATGGACTTAAAAAGTATAGAATCAATTTTAAAAAAATCAGAAACAAATTGCCAAAACTGTCGGGAAAATGCCCATATCTTTGATTTTATTATTTTGACGAGCGCCTGACTTCACCACGATGCCTCACATATTACATCCATTTATATGATGTTATGGAAAATACATAATAGTCATACCTGTCTATATTAATGTACTCACCACACATACACATACATCAAACCACCATTTTACTAGGCAGTAATGGACCCCCCCCCCCTCCCTTACTCCCGCCATGAAACAAAGTCAGGACATACCTCTCTAACGTGAAAGCACGGCACAGGGACATCTGGATCTCCTCTGTAAACTTATCAAAACTCTTCAGGCCTCGCAACAGAGCATGGAGACGGCGGCAATCTTGCTCGGTTCTGTGCTCGGGCCGTAGCTGCAGGATGACTAGTGCCCAGTCCGGGACATGCGTGATGACCTGTTGGGGGAGAGAATGGTTGGGATGATGATGATGATGATGATGATGATGATGATGATGATGATGATGATGATGA